ACCAGAGCCCATGGGCTCTACAGAGAGTGGAGCATGTTCGCCTACTGGGGGCCTGAAGAGAGCCTGCCTATGTCGGTAGGCGTAGGTATGATTCCTAAGGCCACGAAAAATCGTGGGTGTGAGCGTCGTGGAGGGGGTTGTCTTTGAAAAAGAACCCTTTCTTGGTGTCAAGCCATCCATCGTCCCCTCCTTCATGGCTGAAGAGGAAGACGACAGTCTTGTTCTGCCTGAGGAGATGGAAGCCACTTTGCGGGAGAGCAACGAGTGTGCCCGGGCTTTAGGGAATGCCTTTAGGAGACTTGGGTAAGCGATCCAACTCGGAATGGAGGTAATCCTTTGGAGTAGTGCTTCGTACGCCCAGTTTCCCTGAGCCTTGAGTGTGGTTGTACGGAGAACTGAACTCAAGGTCGTAGATAATGGTTATCTCCCGGATGCAGATCTTTGACTTTCTTGGATTAAAAGTGGTTAGTACCCGTAGAATTTGAGCAAGCCTAGGTGGCCGGTCCTCATTAAGGTGGTGGTATCCCCTCATGTCCTAGGGTACAGCTAGCAGTTTGTCCACCACCATCCAGAACGTCAGCGGTCACATCACGCCAAATATGAGCCGGGTAGCGAGAGAGCTTTGAGGAGCCGATGACGCGAGAATTAAAGTCGGCTCATCCATTTTGGCTTTGCTAGGGGAGTGTGTATGTATGTGGACAGTGTAGTTGGAAAGCATTCACTCTCCCCTCCCCTCCTTTTTCCGGAAAACTAGACTGTCCTCACATCCTCCACCCTGCTTGCATTCCCTTTAGAAAAGCATGTTAAACATTTTTGAATAGATGATATGTAGGCTTGATATACTAGGGCCTAGGGTTTTGCGCACGCGGGTGGTCCTCATTGGCCCAAACATTCATTTATCCACTTGTCCACTCCCTGCTCTCTTTCTTCACACTAAGGCAAAATACATTGCCTTTTTCAGGTGGCCCTTTCTTACTTGTTGCCCAGGTTTAGAAAGATGGTATCAGGCGTGTCGATATACGCTTCTTTGCTTTTGTTTCTTTGGCCTTCAGTGATCGACACGACTAATCGATGAATTGGCTTTTCCGATGAGCAAGAGTGTGAAATCTTGGTGTATAGAAGACCGTTAGGATGGATATGGTAGGGACCTGGGACTTTCTTCATGTGGGCTTTCCCTCTTCCCCTTTTCAGGTGGCCCCTTCTTAGTTGTTGCGAAGGATGATTGTAGGCTTCTCAAGATGAGCTTAGGTTAGGGTTTAGGGTTTAGGGTTTAACGTATAGGCATTGTTGAACGTGTAGGCAATTCTCCCATTTCTAGTGCATGCATTCAAGGGATCCGAGCATACCTGGCCACCATCTTTCTTCCGAGAGCGCCATGAGCCTTTAGGTGTTTGCGCTAGTTGGTTCTCTCAAGTACTCTTGTCCAAACACCTTGAGCATTGCAGTAGCAAGCCTGACAATGGCATCTCTACATGTGCTTTAAGACATCCGGAGGTACTTGCCCACTAATCTGTGGCCGTGTAGGCAAGGATCCTCAACGCAGTTGTGCCATAGGCAAACATACTCAATGCGTCCAGGCACTAGAGAACTCAGTGGTTCCAACGACGTCTTGATTCAAGGTGAAGTAGTCATCGTAGGCCCGAACACTATTGTAGATCTTTTATCGCATTCGAAAGCGGCGATGAAAATGGTCCACGAACACTGGGGGCAAAGTGGTCGTCCATCAACATCAAATGCCCCGTGCACTATTCCGAGTCAGCACCTGACGCCCCCTTGATTGATCCCTTGAAATTGAGAACACGTTCAGCCGCATGCCCCGCGTCTGCAAGGACTGCCATAATCATCGCCGTTTCATCCTCATTCAATGAGGATGAATTGAAGAAGTCGTGGTCCAAATCCATCATGTTTGCTTGAAAAGTAAGGAAAAAAAACTATCGCCAATCTGTCTATGTCATCTGGCCAACCATTTTTGTTGGGCGTGGTGTCCGCCATGGACGGCACCTGCAGGGGTGGGCGGCGGATGGACGAGCGGTGGAACGGTGGGAGACTCCAAGGTGGATAGGTGTGTGGGTGGGGCGGATGAGGTCTGGCAAGGCCTGGGTGTACAACGACATCGAAGGTATGGGAGGGAGAGGACGCATAGCGCATGTCGAGGGAAGGGGAAGGGATTGAGTGAGGAAAACACGGCGCCAGTAGGGTTTTGGGTGGGTCAAAGATGTCGGAGTTTTACATGGCCCCGAATTGCGAAGAATCAGACGTGCGGACGTTCATGGCATGGCGTTGGATGACAAAACCCATAGTGGTTGTTGACGTTTAGGGGCTGTCGTACACGAGGATGCAAGAACACCTTATTATAATCGGGAGGGAAGGCAGTGAGGAGGGGAGGAAAGGTGGATAGGATTGGCAGAATTTCAGCAAGGCCGGGCGGTCGGCCCCACATGGTAGTGAGTGAGTGGTATCTCATCGGGTCGGGTAGAGGTAGCAGTTTCTTTCTTTCTTTCTTTCTTGTCCAGCATGAATGAGCACGTCATCGATCACATCAAGCCAAGCCCAAGCCGAGCCGAGCCGATTCGCTAGAGAGAGAGGGGAGAAGAGCCGATGACGCTCTTGAAGCCGGCTGCCTGAAAGTGAGTGAGTGTGTGTGTGTATGTATGCGGGCAGTGCAGTGCAGTTGGAAAGCATTCACTTCATCCTCTCCTCTCCTCCTGTGAAGCGCTCTGCTCTCCTCTGCAAAATTGGATCTTCATCACATCCTCTGCCCTGCCCTGCCCTGCCTGCATTCCCTCCCTCCCTTTAGATCGATCGATCGATCCGATTAGATCCGCGCAAGCAAAGCAAAGCAATTGCAATTGATATTGGATCGGCATCCGCAGAGAATTGCGCTCCTCTCCGATCCACCCAATTGCAATCGCAAAATTGCGTCCTCCGTCCTGGATCGCCGGCCGGCCATTGCTCACCTGGATCCGCCCCACCACATCAGAGCAGAGCAGGTGAGACCTCCTCTTGATCCGCATTCTTTTCCTTGCTTCTTCATTTGGATGGATCTTTCTTCCTTCTTTCTCTCGACTGGATGGATGTGGGCTATCTATCTGGATGATTGCCCACGGATCGCCCCAATTGCTTTGCTTCCTTTTTCTTTTTGGATCCAGAATTGTGGTTTCTTCTTCTTTGGGGTTTAGCATCAAGAGAAGAAAAGATTTTGTTCAATTTCGATCCATCTGGATCCTCGCATTCATCTGCTACTCCCACTACCTAACTAGCTGGATCACCAACCAATTCCCAGTATTTCTTTCTTTCTTTCTTTCTTTCTTTCTTTCTTTACATTGCCGGGCATTCAATTCAATCAATTTAATTCATTCCCTTCCTCCTGGATCAAATCCGCTCCTTTCTTTCTTTTTTTTTACATATATATACACTCCATGCCACTTGAGCAGAGTACCACAGTGACTAGTATAAATTGATTGATTAATTCCTTCAATCCTATCCTATCCTGGATTTCGCTCGCTCACACCAACTTTATATTATTAGCAGCATGTTTGTCTATCTTCAAGTTGTGCATTCCAATTTCCATGTTTGGAATCTACAATTCGATTTGCGATTCACCAATTCATGTCATCTTTTACGCTCTACTACTACAATGCTAGTCATGATTTCCATCCCAACTTCTTCTCTACTTTAATTCATTCAAAAAAGAAAAAAAAGCGAGTCAATTCTCCATCTTGAACCTATCCGATCTGGAATTCAACCATTTCCCACTTTATTTATTCATTTCATCCTGATCCGATCCGCTGCCAGATCAATCAATCAATCAATCTTGTTGAGAATTCAAGCTCCTAGATCGACGATAGGCTAGATAGATAGATCCTCAATGCGGGCATCTCCATCTCCACTGGGAAGGGAATTGCATTACAATTCACAAGCAGCAGATTCCAATTTCGGGGTTGGGAATGCATTACTAGTAGTACAAGATGTAACTGTAGACTCACTATGCATGCAGTGTGTGTGTGTGTGTGTGTGTGTGTGTGTGTGGCATCACTCGCTTTAATTGCGAATTTACTCTGCAAAATTAAATCCCCTCCCAAATTGCGAATTTACTCATTATGAATTTACTTCCAATCCATTGACTGTAAGTAAATCCGTGCAGGTAATCTTGCTTAGATTCAGGATCCATAATTACTGTCAATCAGAAGCAATCCCATTCGATCCGATCGGGATTTATTGCTTCCTTCCCTTCACATGCTCATGCTCATGGTTGCTATTGTACTACCCCAGCAAGCAGCTAGTGTAGTGTACTACTGTAGTATACATTGGTAGACACATCGCTTTCAGGATTGCTACCCCAGCAAGCAATCCTGAAATTCATGCAGCTGGCTGGATGGCTGGCTGGTGGGTCCTGGCAGCGAGTTAGTAGTGCCTTTGCCGGTTCATCGCCATCACGGCCAGTGGATGGTTGCTGTCAATCCGTTTGCAAATCTCCCCACATCACAGATTTACCTACCCAGATCCGGATCAATTTTGCATTGCATGGACGCGTCACATCGTCTCTTCGATCGCTTTTTCGACCCGATCCGCGTCGAATTTCTCGGCCCAACCCAAATGATTGTGAATTTTGTGTTATTACCACTGAAATGATAGATAGAATTTCGATCGTGCATCGAATTCCTCTTTCTCATTATAAAAGTGTTTCTTGCTGCCAGTAAACTCTTCATGTAACTGCATCAACTGTTCAGTGTTCACCACTCCTCTGAATATCACTTGTTTCACTCTTGCACTCTGCTATAATCAATCAATCAATCATGATATTCATGCACTCTGCTCTAAATCTTGAGCTGATTTTCGGCGGCTCATGCTGCTGCTTACTGTATTGCTGTTGAGAGTTAACTGACACCACCATATTCCTTATGTTGGTCTCATGGGCTGTGTGTGTATTGATTGGTTGAATTTGCTTCTTTCAGTTTCAGCAGGCAGGGAGACGACATCAGTCAGGCCGGTGAAGCAGTATGATGATGGGGACCGATGTGTGTTCTTCGCGGATGCTGTCGCTGCCCCGTTACGAGAGCGGCGACGAGGAGCTCACCGTGCTGCCCAGGCACACCAAGGTCGTCGTCACCGGTAACAACCGGACAAAGTCCGTGCTCGTCGGCCTGCAGGGTGTGGTCAAGAAGGCTGTTGGCCTTGGAGGCTGGCACTGGCTGGTCAGTCTTCCTTCCTTCCTTCCTTCCTTCCTTTCATTTTTTTTAAAGGAGGCATCCCACTGAAACTCTGCTTAATAGTTAGTGGCTGCTTCTTTATATTGATAGATATTGATTCACAACTGCAATGGAGTGAAAGGAATCATGTGTCCCTTTTGACTTCACTTTTCTTTTCAGAAAGTAGCTAGCTAGTCAAGCAAGCAATTTCAAAGTTGAAGATGCATATAATAAAGCTATAATAAAAGCATTAGTAGAAACCAACATCCATCCAAATATGGCATCTTGTTCTAATCCCTGAGACATTATTATCCTATTGGAAAAAAGCAGGTTCTCAAGAATGGTGTGGAGGTCAAGTTGCAGAGGAATGCCCTGAGTGTCTTGGAAGCTCCGACTGGCAACGAGGACGACGACGAGATCGATGGCGGTAACAGCTCCTTCTGCGGCAGCTTCGACATGGGAGACAAAGACATGAACTACTGTAAGACCATTTATTATGCCATCATTCAAAATGTTTGTAGCCAGAATGCATTCTATAACTGTCTGTCTATCAGTGAAAAAACTGAATGTTCCCTTGGTTGTGTGTTTGCTCACAGCAAGCATCGAGTACCAGAAGCCAACAAAGCCGAGGGTCCGGCACACAAGGCCATGGTCTTCCTGCACGACGACGTCCAGCAGCCGGGCCAACAACCTTCACTCGACCTCGAAGCTGCGAGCGGTAATCACTGTCACTATCCTGGCAACTAATCAGGACATTTCAAGTAATCGTGTCTGAAAGTTGAGATTGGGCCATATATAATAGTATGGTGTGACCCTGCTAGCTGGGATCACATGGCAATGGGCCATGGTTAGTTAGGTAGGAGCGTGGTCAAGTCGTTGTCATTGTCATTGCTTTGCTAAACTCGTGACTAATTTGTTGACAAGGCAAAAAGATAATTAGATTCTTAGTGTATTCAGTATCATGTCTGTCTGTCTGTCTGTCTCCTGGGAAGCTAATAATCCCAGTGCCTGTCTACCATGACAATTACGCTGATCCAACAAAGGATATTCATTCTGCTTTTTGTTGTTGTTGTTGCAGAGAGTGAACCTGACAAAGCTTGGAACACCCACACTATGGAGATACTGGAAGCACTTCAACCTTGTAAGCACTCCTGTCCTATCCCATCATCCCATGTAGTAGAGCAGAGTAGAGTAATCCTTGAGCAGCAAACAATAGAATAGAATAGAATCCATGCTAAGCATTTGATTCATTCCTTCCTGATATGATAAATTACAGGGTGGTGAAAAATGTGTGCAGGTGAGCATGAACCCGACTCCATCAGAGGAGCAGCTGTTCCATGGGGTCCAGCAGCATTTCCAGTCGCAGGTATATTGTCTGAAACTCCTCCACTAGTAACTGAGAAGACTTGAGATGAAGAAGAAGAATCTAATCATGTGTGCATTCCTTTGTCTCCTCCAAATGGCGAAAAAACAAAAAAAGCAGCAATTGGATGAGTTGCAGGTGATCTTGGGGTTCATCCAGACGGCAAAGAGGCTCAAGACCCTGTACAAGAACAGCTCCTAGCCCAGCCTTCCTTCATTCCTCAGATGCATACATACATATGCTTCACCTTCACCTTCACCAGTGGTTTCAGTTGCTGTTAGTAGAGAGAAAGAGAGAGAGAGAGAGGGAGAGAAGAGGTTAGATGATGATGCATCATGTGGTTAAGTAAGTAAGTAAGTTATTAATCTTAGTCTCCTCCACTTTAATGGGAAGCAAGTTGTGAACAGGGAGGGATTTGTACTGGCACATTTGATCAGTACAGATTCTTAGCTTCTCTTCTTCTTCTTCTTACTCCTTGTAATGATGAGAGAGAGAGAGCAAAAATGATGGATGCTGAATCATGTAACCCCAGACCAGACCCCTTGCTGCTGCTGCTGCTGCTGTTTGTTATAACTGACCATCAAACCAAACCAATCTCAGTTATTTGGAGAGATACTAAATACTAGCAAGTATTATAGTTAATTAATTAATAATTAGTTAATGTGAAGAAGGTACTCTGTGGATGGATGGATGGATTTTTTTTTATTTTTAGAAAAGGGGGAGATCCCCAGCCTCTGCATCAGAGCGATGCATAGGATGGATGAATGAATTATATATATTGCTGCCTTTTATTTATTTGGTGAGTCAACATTTTCACATCCATGTGTTTTCTCACCGTGCTGCATGTGTTTTCAAAATTGATGCAGTCCTCTATCTAGAAGAAGATCTGGAAGGGGATCTGGATGTGAAAATGTATCTGCTCTATGTCTATCGATCCATTGACCCACTGTGCTGTGCCTGTGCGAGTTGGTAGGATAGGAGCAGCCCTGGTCTGGTCCTCCATTCTTGTTCAACATCCTCGGTGGACCGGGCGCACTGGACCAACACACAGACTATTTGCATGGTTCTATCTACTCTACATAAAAAAAAATGAGCCTTGCGTGATTGTGGCGCACGGTGGACCAGGAGCATGGAGAGGAAGAGGCGCCGTGTGCATGCGTGCGGTGCGGTTCACATGCCAGCCTCGGGCAGTGTGCATGATATAACAAATAAATAGAAAAGAAAAAAGAAAAAGAAACACATGATGAAAATGGATGAGGTTGTCATCAAAGTGGGCACGGACAGACAGCATCCTTTCTCCTCATCTCTTTGTGTAGCCTCATTTGTTTTGTTTTTACACTTACTTGTGCTGCTAACCTCTGGCTTTGTAGCTACTATTGTAAATAAACATGATGGCTTTGTTTGGCAACTTGTTACTATTTATGGTACTGCTTACCCTATACTTAAATCTTGATTTTATTGTTGAACTGCATGATACTATGCTTGCAATATTAAAAGCAGGACGATCGTTCATAAAAATGTTACAATATTTGATCACTAATCACAAAATAGATACTGCACATATTGGAGTTATCATATCTCGCCATCCCACAGCTCCTCGACTAATTTGGAAGGTGTGTCAGGCGGCGGACTTGGATATTTTGTAGCTCAATCACCGGCTACATGGAGATACTTCAATCAATATGTGAAGGACGGTTGAGATAGTTGACTCCGAAAGGCCCTTTGGTAGTTTATTCCTCGTAACAGCCTTCCACCCCACTTTATAAATAAAGCAACAACCTTACAAAGTACACGGCCGAACAATACAAAGTGGTGACGTAACCCTCTTACAAAGCCGATCTCAAGATAATCGGAAACGCAGACCGCAGGAGACTACGAAACCGGAAGATAACACAAGAAGACCTGAGAACACCGCCACACTACGCCCTAAAACACCTAAGCTCCACGACAACACCCTCAGGAGGGGGAACGGCGCCAGGCGTCGCCGCTGTCGAGTCCAAAGGACAAGGTTTTCACCTGGAACTCTCGCAGGGAAAGGAGCACCACGATGACGTATTCAAGAAGATAACGACGCCCACGAGCGTTGCCGCCGTCGGCGACAAAGCGTAGAGCTTTCGCTCGGCAGCTCCCTCATGCCACCATGAGGTCTTCAAGAGAGCGTGTGGCGAGTCCAAATCCCCAGATCCAGATCAGGGCGCCGCCACTGCCAAAGACAAATGGCTCGCCTGAGCCACCCGCCGCTACACCTCTTGCCGCCCACACGACCAAGATGTATAGCCACCACAGCCGCCATGGCGCCCGCCGGAGAACCAACCAAGCGGACCACCTTCCAGGACCGCCGTCCCAGCATCCAAGCCACGAGACATCGCGCACCGTCCGCTTCACAGTGCGCAAACCGTGACAGGAGAAGCCCGGCATCAGCCACCGAGCCAGGGTCAGCGCCATCATCGCCGGGGCGCCCACGCCTGCAATCCCACCAATCCCAGTTGATCGGGGGGGATGGGGACCATCGTTGAGCAACCCACTCAGACGACGCCAAGTCCGCAGCTTGAGGCACCGAACCAACCGCCGACAGACAGATGCCCCGACCACCACTACCACGGACCTCCACCGACGCTATAACGTGAGGACGCCTCTCCAACCGGACCCCCGCTGCGCAGCCACCCGCACCTCCACCCCTAGGAACCGCCGAACAGCCGCCCCGGACGCAGCCGCCCCGAGATCGAGTTTTTTTTGTTGGTTTATTTTAGGGTTTTGCTCGTAAATGGGATCTTTAATGTTGGAATGCACACAAAATAGAACACATAACGCGTGACACATACACGATGAGGTTGTTTTGAAAAAGAAAGTTTAAACCAAAAAAGATCACACATAACGCGTGTAAAAAAAGCAGAAAGGACTCAAGACCCATCGGGCTATGAAAAGTTTGGTAGACGTACATACTTGCGACATTGAAAGTCCATTTTTTGGCAGGACGGTTTTTCATAAAAAGATGTTACAATACTTGATCACTAGTAATCACAAAAATAGATACTAAGACATATTGGAGTGATCATTCATATCTCGCCGTCCCAGAGCTCCTCGAGTGATTTGTAAGGTCCGTCGGGTGACACAAAGTAGTCCCCCTGGCACGCCCTTTTCTGCGGTATCGTGGCGATCATCGCCTTGTCCTCCTCGCTCAGCTCCCAATCGAAGATGTCCAGGTTGTGCTTGAGCCTCTCCTTGTTGAAGCTCCTGGCCACAAAGCACACGCCCTGCTCGTACACCCACCTCAACGCCACCTGCACATACATATACATCATCATCAACAACAGCAAGACGTCTAATAAAGACTATCTCTCTCTCTATTTTTACAATTCCTTCCTAAGAAAGAAAACACACATAAGAATTTGAGTTTCATTGGTATATAAATAAGCTTCTTTTTACTAAAAATATTAGTAGTATATTGGTAGTAATTTTTGCAGGGCTTGGATTCATAATAACCCTCTGTTTGACTTGTGAACGATTTATGCATGTTGAGACATATGAAACTCATGATTCATGTCTTTAATTTGTTGGTGGTTATGTTGATTCTCTTATCAAACTTGTGAGTTAGACATCCGATCCATCCCTAATGCATGCATGCATGCATGCGGCCTACACATCTTTCTGAACTTTTTTTTTAGAAAAGGGGCATGACCCCGGCCTCTGCATCTGGGCGATGCATACGACCACATGCTATAGCTAAACTAATTAGTTTGATGATGATATGAGAAATTTACATATCTGTGAATTTTAGCTAAAAAGAAAAGAATAGAAATTACCTGGGCCACGGTCTTGGCTTTGGCGGCGGCTACGTCGTGCATGACGCCGCTGTTCATGACGGCGTCCGAGCCCCATGACGCGCCGTACGCGCCCAGCGGCGAGTAGGCGGTCACGACCACGCCGTGCCGCGCGCACACCACCCGCACCTTGTCCTGCCTCCACCCCACGTTGAGCTCCACCTGGTTGACGGCCGGCGGCACGGCGGCGAGCGCCAGCAGGCGCTCCATCTTGGCGGCCGAGAAGTTGCTGACGCCGACGGAGCGCGCCAGGCCGAGGCGGCGGCACTCCTCCATGCCGCGCCACACGCCCTCCATGTCGAACTCCGCGTGCGTGGCCTTGTCCGCGGGGTCGTCGGCGGCGACGGGCCAGTGGACGAGGAAGAGGTCGAGGTAGGCGAGGCCGAGGCGGGCGAGGGAGTCGCGGAGCGCGGGCACGACGCGGCCCGGGCGCGCGTCGGGGATCCAGAGCTTGGAGGTGACGAAGAGGTCCTCGCGCGACCGCACGGCGCCGGAGCGCACGGCCTCGGCGACGGCGGCCCCCACGGCCGGCTCGGTGCCGTACATGGCGGCCGTGTCGAGGTGGCGGTAGCCGAGGCGGACGGCGTGCAGGATGGTGTCTGGCAGGTCGGCGGGCGCGCGCGAGGCGCCGGTGCCGAAGCCCAGCACCGGCATGGCGTGGCCCGTGTTGAGGGTGACGCACGGGATCGCCGTCGGCAGTGCGACGGCGGCATGCTGGAGGTCGTCGTCGCCGGTCATGGTTGTTGGAGCTTGATCTAGCTTGGTAGGAGTTGGATTTGGTTGAGGTTGATCGGCTGCGTGAATGGTCTTTAAATAAACTCAAGCGTACGATATGTGTGAAGTGGTGGTTGCCATGTCAAGCACGTTTCGGTTTCTATTTCTCTTTCTTTGCTTGGGACAGAAGATGATCGTTGTTTTTTTTTTCCGTCTTTTGAAAGTCAAAGTCTAAGGGAGGGATGATCCTCTTTGTCACTCTGGATTCTCTATGAGTTTTTGAGATCGACAACTCCTTGTTACGACTTGCGATTTTTATTTGACTTTTTTTTATCTTTTCGGGTTTCTTGCACTTTACCTAACACATGTATATGTATTGGCCTTTGGCCCTCCTGTGAAGTTAGTTGCTCATTATCCAACAAGGTATCAGATGCTAGGCTAGCCTCTCTCCCTCGCACGCTGCAACTCCATGCTCCCTCCTCCTAGCCTACCTCATCTCCGGCCGTTTCTGCTCGATTCCGGCCGCCCCGGCTCGATTCCTATCTGTCCCAACTTGCCTCACGCCTCCGCCGCCTGCTGCTCTGCTCTCGTCCCGCCCGAAGCCAGGATTCGGCTTGGCTGCAGCTCCCACCTGCCTCGTCCCGCCCGCCGCCAGGCTTTTCTTCC